CCCCCCGCCGCCAGCACCACGCTGTGGGGGAGTCCTGTAGGGCCCCCTCCTCCCCCCCAGATGTCTCGAGGGATCCCCAGCCTGACCAGGCTGGCAAGTCGCCATCCGGTTCTCCCGGTCACCACAAACCCAGCTGTCTGCGAGCCTAATGCTCCACCCCCCGTTACCAGCCCCTGCCTTTTCCCAAGGGCTGGGGTTCCCTCCCCGGGAGAGGTAACCTCAGTGCCAGCGGGCCCCCCAGCATCGCCGGGAAGGGGGGTCCCAACTCTGGCTCCTTTCGGATTTTCTCCTTCCCTGAGCCTTTCGCCCGCCTCCCCGGCACAGGGCGGTCTGGGGGCAGGAGGAGGTTGGCTGCCCTGACCTGGGCGGCTGGCTCCGTCCCAGGAACGGGTGCGGAGAAAGCGTTGGCTGGCAGGGCCCAGGAGCCTTGTGTCTGTTTGCGTGAGGCTCCTACGCCCGGGCCCGGCAGGCGTGTTTGCAGAGGAGTTTGCAGAGCAGCAAGCGAAGAGGAGGGTCCGTGGATCGAGGGGACGCACCCGAGGAAGTGACTTGTCTGAAGGGTCACACTATGGCTACGTCTACACGGGCAGGATTTTCCGCAACTGCGTTTAACAGAAAAGTTTTTCCGTTAAAAGCATTTGCGGAAAAGAGCGTCTAGATTGGCAGGACACTTTTCCGGAAAAGCACTTTTTGCTGAAAAGCGTCTGTGCCAATCTAGACGCGGTTTTGCACAAGAAAGCCCCGATCGCCATTTTCACCATCGGGGCTTTTTTGCGCAATACCTCTTGCGCAAAAGCATTTGCGCAAGAGGGCTTTTGCCCGAATGGGAGCAGCACAGTATTTCCGCAAGAACACGGACAATCCTACATGAGATCGTCAGGGCTCTTGCGGAAATTCAAGCGGCCAGTGTAGACAGCTGGCGAGTTTTTCCGCTAAGGCAGCTGCTTTTGCGGAAAAACTTGCCAGTCTAGATGCAGCCGCTATGTCTAGACTGCAGGCTTCTTTCAGAAGAAGCTTTTCTGGAAGAGATCTTCTGAAAAAATGTCTTCCACAAGAGAAGCTGCCCTGGCCCCCAAAGGCCGTACGCCTCTCTGTGGGACTGTCCGGGGGGCGGGTAATCAGCCCCCCGACATTGGGTGTTCAGTGTACCCAGCCCTGCCGCTCAGCTCCCTGGCCAAACTCCCCTCTTGCCCCGTCTTCAGGCTGCGTTTGAGACCAGTTCATGCTCCCTGGGGGACTTTAATGACAAGCCCTTTCGTCCCTTCATCGCCCTGCCTTTCTAGAAACCAACTCCCTGCCCAAAAGGGGGGCGCTTCAGACCCCCCTAAAGCGCCCCCCTCCCCCGGCGAATGTCTCCCGAGGCGGAATCT